TAGTAGTAGTAGTAGTAGTAGTAGTAGTAGTAGTAGTAGTAGCAGCTATGCTGTGGGTAGAGTAAAGAATTCAGCCTGCAATTTGAAGGTGTATGCGTAAACTTGCTTACTGCTACCTACGCACTCACTACTTAGTATGTAGTGGTTAAAAAGGACGGGTTGGTGTTGGGGATGAGATTGCAGCTGTGAGGGGGGTTAAATACAAATCTTCCCGGTCGCAAGTCTCACGAGCTCTAATTTACTTACGATACCTACAGTATACCTTAAAGAGGTAGTAGTATCTTGCCCTCTTTTCTTTTTTATAATTATTTACTCCATCCAGGGTTCCTATTTGAGGGAAAGAGGAGGAGGGTGGGAAAGGGACGCATCATCAGTGAGGCGTTGCAGAAGGGGGCGAGCGACGAGAGTTTCCCTCTCAACTCACTTACTCACTTCCTTCTTACTCCATCTCTATCCGTAGTCTACCTTCCTGGTTCGTATCCACTGAACACAAGTCCTGCAGTCAATGGCCGAGGAGAATACCAACCTACCTATGGGAAACGTCTCAGAATAGTCTGAATCCTGGCTCATATTCATGTGCAATTTATTCTGTACCTAGGGTGGTTTCAACACACTACACACACCCCCCCTGGTCATTCGCAATGCTTTCCTTAATAACATGCCACCTGTGATATCTATACTTGCTTTGTGGGCCAATAGAGATCGCGATCACACTACTTACTCCCTACTGTAGCATCTCCTCCGGACGCATGATGCTTCCCAACCTCTACTTACTTACCTAGAACCGTATTCAGCTCCGTTTCTCGGCACGGAATCAACGGGAGGATGAGAATGAGGATGATGACGGGCAACTTCAGACCGAGAGGGCTCGGTTATGCCCGTGCTGTAGTTAGACGAGCCAGCGCAATTCCTTTATCATTCGTGACGGTGGTCGATGTGTGATGCCGACTTCGGGGTTGGATGGTTGCTTATGATGCAATTGGCGGCGGGTCAATGCCACCAAACTCCCACTCTCTACACGGTCGCAGGGCAACTACTCACAACAAGTAATAACAATACCTGGGAGATAAAAGAAATTTCCCTTTGCAACGAGAGGGGCAAAATGATCTATGCGTTTTTGTGTCTGCTCTTTCCAAATACTCCTCTTCTATCTAGTATTCTGCGCAATGCTCATTCTCGGGGCAACCAGGATGCTTGCTTGCTTGCTTGCTTGCTCCACCTGAAAGGAAGGGTGTGGGATTCCCAGAAGAGGCGAGCCGAAATCGCTAAATGGAAAAGAACGATAGGTATGCGCGGGCTGGGCTTGTACGGAAGTAAGTGGGAAAGTAGTGAAGAGGCCCAAGCGGGTGTGCATTGCGTAAACTTCAGCAAGAATAATCCCGCGACCCGAGATTGGAGGGGACGGGGGGGAACTGGAGGTTGGGAAAGAAATTGAAATTTTTGTTTGGGGCTATTTTTGGTCGGAAAGGAATGAGTGAGTACTATCTGGTAGTGGTAGTGGTAGTAGTAGACAGAAGAGAATGCGTGTATATTCAGGCAACCTATACAACAAGAATTTAACGATTACTATAGGATCGAATCAGAAAGGTACTTTTGGCTGACGACGACAAACATCTGAGACGCAGCTTCAGATGGTCACACAAACTTGAGTCCAGTTCTTTCATGGGGGGGGTTTGTTTGAAAAGCCAGCTCCCGGCTTGGCTGATTTGCCTCTTGACCGCTGGATCCGCTTTTTCCTGAGCGGAACCGTGCCTTCTTAGAAAAGACAAACGCCACCCAGTAGAGCGCCAACCATCCGGATCTCACCGCTTTTCCTTTTGCTGTCAACCATCCCCGGGGTCTCCAACAACTAAGGGGAGGGGAGGGGAAGGGGGAGGGGCCCAGTAGCCAGCAGTAGCCCAGTAGCCAGCAGTAGCAGCAGCAGCAGCAGCAAACTAACGCTCACCTCGACTCAATCCATCGACTCCATAACTAAGCGGGCGCCGGCTTGAGAGTTCCCATCGAATCCGTGCCTTAGCGGCATAAGGTTTGCTCTCTTTTGCAGGGATTGCACCTAAGCCTATCCCGGCAGCTCGTAAACTACCGAATGAGGAAGCGCACCCTCCCCCTTGACACGGCACATCATCCCCAAAAACGCGTAACTGGACCCAGAAACGGTCGGCCAATCATCAGCCACAACCCACTTTGAGGGGGTGGGAGGGGGCCCGTCCTGACCCTTTTTTTCCCCTAAACCATTGCGGGGAGTCCCGATCGGGTAATCCGGTGGGGAACCCTTTTCCCAATTGCCCTCTCTCACAAAAAGAAAAGAGAAAATCGAACTAAACCAGTCAGCTCGTACCGAGTCGGGGCCCAATTGGAACGGAACCGCTTTGCCTTCCTCATTTGCTGGTTGGCTTTGGTCTGGCCTTACAGCCAGCCTTCTTTACTACCTCCCTTAGTCGCTGTCTGTATAGCCAGCCTAGTACTTACTTTACTCTTGTAGCTCGACAAGGCAAAGCATCACTAGTTCGGTGGCGAAAAATCATGGCTTACTTACAAACAGAGATGCTTAAGGAGAAGAAACAAAAATAATACAGACACGAATTGAAACTCTCGGGGAAAGACACTCCATTTTCCGGGATTGGACGGTAGTTTGTTCCCCCGAAGCCAAGTTTCCACGCTTTTGACTTTGGTGACAGAAGCATCGACGCAAAGCATGGAGCAAACCAAGATATGGCAGTAGTATTGCCAATTGGATATGGGTCTCATACACACTCACAGCAAGTAGACTACAGTGGGTAGGCCCTTGCACCTCTCGCTAATTAGATGATGGTGGTGGTACTCCATAGTTGCCGGTGAAGTCATTTCCTTCCACCTAGGCAGAGTTCATAGCCGTGGTGTTGTTATAATTAGGACTTTTTAATTTCGCTTCTTCACTGGACTGTGGATAAACACCGAACGTCTAGACTGGCTTATACACCTGACTATCGGCGCCAAGGGACATAGAACCAACAGCATTTCCGAAGATTCCGAGATGAAAGAGGGGGGGAAGAATATTTACCAAGATATTTGGATACTGTATGCTATGTTACTGATAACAGGTAGCTATGATCCTCAGTAAGTAAGTAAGTAAGTAGTAGTGTAAACTAAATCTACCTTTCTACTTCGATCAGATAGAACATCACGACCATCATCAATCTTGAGAAACTCGGCATCTCGTCGATCATCCTGACGTCGGCAATAAATAGCCAGCCAGCTACTAGCTAGACTAGATCAATAGATAGATAAGTGGCACCAAGCACCACATCCCCATCATTCCGTCTCCCAATCACCAATCCACGCCAACATCAAAGCAATAATCTAAAATCCCAATTTCTTCAGGAACACGGACGATCATCATTCAAACTGCGGACCCCCCTACCTAGTACCTTACTACCTACACAGCAAGCCAAGTAGCAGCATACACTACAATAGACTATGGAGTCGAACTAATAACCCTAAGTAAGCATAGTAGCATTAGCAATCAAATTATCAAGCTACAGAGCTGGGGAGCGAGTCAGGCATATTTCCCCTTTTTCGATAATTCTATTTTATTTTTCGTCGGTTTTTAACACCATCTGTCAATCTGCACGGGGCTCCTTTCTTGGCAGATCCCACACGGCAGATCGTCGTTGATTGGCATGATGGCGTTTTGGCTTACTTGCCTTTGCTTTGCTGCTCCTATCTTACTGTAGGTAATAGGTATGGATGTATAGCATTCTGATGTCAGACCATAGGGAGAGGAAGGAAGGGAGGGAGGGAAGAAGAAGGTATGTAAGATTAGTTTTTCGCGCTTATTCTCTTGTTTCAACGTAAGTAAATAAATGTCAAAGTATTGGAGTGTATCATGTGGCTATAGATACGAGTACATACGAAACTACCAATTTACACACCAGTAGTAGCACTCCGTAGTGAACCACCCACGGCAAGTCAAAAGCGAAAATATAAAAAAGAAACACTTACCTACGAAACTTAACTTCAGCTCCATCTGTGGTATCCATAGATCGCGCACCGATGTATCTATTGCCATCCCTCCTATCCCCCTAGGAACGAACCAGATACTCGAGATACCCGCGGGAAACCAAAGAAAAGAACCCCGAAATTAAGACCACAAGACAGCGAATAGCGGGGCAGAATAGTACTTAGTAGCCATGGACGTGGGGACCAAGCGAAGAGGCAAAATAATACTAGACAAGTAACTAGAACATGAAGTGAACTTTCCATGAATCTTCTTTTGCGATTTTAGGTGTAGCGTTGGCGTTGGCGTTGCGTGCCAGCTTTCTTTCTTCTTTTTTCTCCCCTCGTAACTCGGGAACCCTAAATGAGATGAGATTTCATAGTTTGGTTTGTTCGGTATCTCTACTAACTAACTAGCTAACTAGTAGATTGTTGGGTCGGGAAGAGGGGCGGCGGCGTGCTGGCGTATGTTCTCTTTTGGAGTTACTTTAGATGGAGTGTGGAAGATTTGTTCAATTGGAGGTGGTGGATGGGTACAAATCAAGTGTGAGTAAGTAGTGCATGGTTCGTTCCCGCGGCAGCCCATACCCAAATTTTTGACAGTCCCCATAGCGATGGATCCCTTGTCCAATTGTTCATATTGTTTGGTTCCTCATCCACTCAGCTCGCAAACCCACTCGCTCGCTCCTCCTCCCCCCTCCCGCGTCCCCTAGTAGACTAACCTTTTGGGGCTGCATGGGTCCGCGGATGTGGATGGGGAGGGACTGGCTGACTTAGGGACGAACCAGAGGATTATTAAACCGGGAAATGCGAAAAAAGAAATATCCCAGACGGGTAAAGGTGGCGTGGACCACAGTCCGAAAAGGGAAGCCCCGCCAAGATGAGAATGAAAGGTCATCAATCAATCGCGGCAAAGCGAGAAAATCCAGTTCCCGTGCGGCAGAGAACTAGACTACTAACTCTGCTTTGCTTTGCTTTGCTTTACTTGCTTGCTTACTTACTTACTGTTATTAGTACTTTCCAGACTACTTTTCTAGCCAGATTACGGAGGTGCTCTGGATGTGTCTGTGTGTTCTGTCTTAAGTCCCACTCACTAACTATTGCGCAATTGCAATAGCAATGTGTCAGAGGAACCTGATCCCAGGTGTTGAGTCGTTCAATTGGTATTGATGTTCCTGATTGGTCCCCTACCCCGATATACCACCGCGACTCCAACCATTCGGGAGATCCACATCCGCTTAATTTGCAGCCCGGTCAAAATGTAAGAGTTAAGCAATCTGCGTCGCAGGTAAGAAAGTAAGCAGCAAAGCAACATTAATCAATCCATCTCCGTGAGATTCCGTCGCCTGTACATACATACATACGTATTTAGAAAATGAGGACTACTAGTACAGTCTCGGTGGGAAAGTAACTCCATCCAATAGAAGAAACAGAGGTCAGAGAGGAGCCATGGGCGGGTCAGGCCTGGTTTAGCGTGCAAACTAAGATCCAAACGCAACGAGCAGAAATCACCAGTCACGCTATTGGCAAACCACGCTATGATTCAATTTGCTCAATCCCTGGACTAAGCAAAAGCAGGGAGGGCATGTTAGCCACATCCCCCGGGGACGGCAGATAGTCGATAGCCGAGCTTGGCTCTCACAGATAACCCAATCACAGCTGGAGCCCCACAGAAGCTGACGCGTGCACATCTCACAGCGCTATACCACTTTGGGGTGGTGCTTTCCCCGTTCCAGTATATGGTTTGTTGTCAGCAAGGGTTTCTTTTGTCATGGTTTTTTATAATATCGAATTATCATAGTTATTGGATGGATATAATTTACGCAGGCGCAGGGCACGCAAGCCTGCTTTTCTCGAAAATTTTACATTTGGTACGTACAGACAAGTAAAGTAGCTTTACCCAGCACAGTGGTAAGTTTTCGCTTTTCGCTTGGTTACAGATCAGGATCTAAACCAGAACTGGTGGACAGACACACCATAGAAAAGAAGATAGACATTTACCCAAACAACTCTAATTAACTCTGTCCAAGAGTCAAGAAGTTAAAGCCCGTATCGGCCTCCATTCTGAACCCCGCAAGCCCGTTGACCAGAATCCCTGCGTGCGATCCTGGCGGGCTCCACCGCCCACCAGGACACTGCCACTCTCAGGGTTGCGGCTAGCAGCCACCTGAAACGCGCCGGCTCATTCTTGGCCCTGTCGAAGGGTTGGACAAAAATGAAGTTCTAACGCCAGTCCGGGCTCCACCGGGTTTACTCTTCAAGAACATGTAACTGAGCTCTGGTTGGCTTGGCCATGATATCACTTCCCCCCCTCTTCCGTGGCAGTTACGAAGGCATGCCACCACCACCAGTAGTCTTTGCAAAGAGACTACGCTTCTCTTGGAAGGTCGTAATTATTGCTGGCGAACGCAACAATCTTATGTTTTATTAAATGTATCTAATAATAACAATGATATTATCAAAGCGCGATGTCCTGTTCTGTTTTAGATGGTTTCTCTTTGTTTATTTTATTATTGTTTATTTCTTTCTCATTCACAACATAGGGAAAGCAGAACCCGAACTCGACTCCTACTACTGCATAAGACTGGGATGTGAGGTGAGTTTCAGGGGTTGTTGTGTGGATGGGGGTTCTGGTGGTAAAGCAGACTGGTCTAATGCCCACATCCCTGACCATTATCTTCAGCTCACCTGACAGCATACATCTGTGCGCGGTGGATGTACTCCAAACTCTGTGCCACCACCCGAGGAGAGAGCCACCCACGGAGTATCTACCTCCTACACTACTTCCTACTTTGTGTACAGCAGAGATGTACGTAACACTTTATTCGTACCTACATTTGCGGGGATTTCCGACGATATCCCTGAGACAAGACCAGACAAGACGTGCACGACACACACGACACATGAGACATTGCATCAGAGCGGACACCGAAAAGGGGAAAAACCAAAAAAAAAAAACCGCCACCAGCAAGCCATGATACTCCGTAGTGTAGGACCCTGAATGAAATCAAACCCGACTAAGCTTCCTGCGACAGCCGCGTCTCTAGGATCCCCCGACGGGACAGAAACGAGTCTAGTGTGCAGGAAGTGGAGCAAGCCACCATCACCCCCTTGGCGGGATGTCAAAAAAGGTGATGTATGGTAGTGACTCAGTGTGTGAGCGTGTGTGGGTGAGGCCTCGTGAGAATCAATCACACACTCTCTCACACACTAAAGATAGACAGATGTCATCCCGCAGAGCAGTAGTCGTCATTGTCATCTTCATTGACTTACGAATCTGAAACAGTCTGATGGATGAGTTTATCTGATTGTGTCTCGAGTTGATTAAAAAACCTGGTTTAAATGTTCGTGCGCGAGCAAAATAAGTTCCAATTTCTCTCTCATCCTCTTTTTTAATATTAAAATGGAGCCGCGATTTGAAATCGCCAACGGCACATCGGGTTCAACTAGTCCTAGCGCTTGATCAATGCGCTACGTTCCTGCTGAGTTGATCCATGTGTGCGAGCGCCATGGATTGAATCTGCGTTTTTAATTTCTGATGACCTTTTTTTATATATTTTTAATTATAATTTAATTGCTCTTTTTCTATTAATATAACTCTTGTTATAGAGACCCTGCATTCCGAGCTAACGCCAAGAGGAAGCTGTTAGACGTCATAAGCTCTCGTGTCGTGGTCTCTCTCTCTCTTTCTTTCTCTCGTTCACTTCATCGCTAACTACAGTAACTAATTAGTGGGCATCCGACGTACCTTAATCTCTCTTACAGGGGTCCGGGAGAAAGGAGAGGGAGAGAGATGGAACTACGGAGTACACGAATCCAAAACTATTAGCTACCAAGACCTCCATCCTTCTCCTCATCTGGATCCAATTCGGCTTCACATGTTCCCTCGGAATCGCAAACAATTATTTCCTTTCAATTTTTCCCAAACCAAGCTTTGTCATGCCGAACAATGACATGACTAAGTGGAAGAAACAAGGGATGAATACCAGTCCACCTTCACTTACTTTACGAACTACGTAGTACTACCCTGGAAATAATTTCCACTAATCTTATCCTATCAATCCAACACTAAGTAGGGTTGCATCCGAAGGGGGGAAGAAAACACTAGTCAGTAAATGGAGCAGGGGCCCATGTGGTGCAGAAATGAAAACCGAAAGTGAAAAAAAAAGGCCTAGGCACAATGAACAAATTATTCATTTCATTCCTCATGCAGATGATGCCCAATGCTAATTGCAATTAATGTGATGACGACTTCAACTGCTGGTGCTAATGCTGGGGCACACTGCATGCACTGCCTTTTTTCTGTTTTCCCGGCACGGAGTACAGTAGTCCAACTGCATGTGTGCCTGGATAATATGGTGATGGTGATGGTGATGGGATTGATCATATGCTTGTTATACTTCCTAGGTAAACTACGGAGGGGTCTAGTTACATGGTGTGATAAGTTCCGATTGTGTTTAAGGCAGAGGAAGTTAATTAAAGGCAACTTTCAGAGGTATTGTCGATGTCTGTGCTTAATGTTAGTTAGTTACTACTGTGGAAGTGACTCAGATGTCTGATGTCTACAACACAACTCCTCCGAACCAATAACTATTCTTTCGTACCTCCGATGTTTAACTGCGCTTAGGTCATCATCATCATCATCAGAGACTGAATAGCTACAGCGCTCAAGCCTCTTCACAGCTAGTTACCTACCTACCTAACAGTAAGTAAACACTCATCGCTAAACACCACGACACAATCTATAGAAAAGAAATACTACCGATAGAACCAGTCCCCGATTAACCCAATAGGGAAAAAGCACCTCCTACCCAGGAATGTCATCATCATCATCGACAACAAGATATAAAAAAAGAACCACCACCACCTCCACCTCCACCATCCACAGATTACAGTATCCCAGGTACCTACAGTAGTTACCTACTATCCACCACCTCCCTAGAACTACCCCAATAGGCAACTCAACTAATACCCAAGTAGACAGATAGTCTAGTCTAATAAGTTGAATGCCAAAAAAAAAAAAAAGCTGAAGGACCCACACCCACCACCACCACCACCAACATCATCTCCATCCCGTCATACCAAAAGCAACAGCAAACCCCACCCTAACCAACCCCAACCAATCAAACCACTCTAAATGGGTTGTGCTCCTTCCCCACAACACGGAACAAGCAGGGCCAAGCCCACACATGACATGGGCTGATGGAGAAGGCTTACGCGGCAACATACCTACACCTTTTTTTTTGGTACTATTCTATCTTAGTCTAACTAGTTAGAGGCATCCATCTGTCTTTTGTCATTGTTGGATTTGGTTTTTGCCCTGCTGCAGGGTTGCAGGGGCTTGGCGGGCTGCAGTGCAGGGTAGGGGAGGGGGGGGGGGAGTGGCTTGCGTGGATTGAAGTTTAGATTTCATGATGATGGTGATGATGATGGTGATGGGATTGTTGGTTGGTTTGTGCGTAGGGAGATGGAGGAGGGAGAGGGGGCGGTGGGTTGATGTCGTATTTTGTGGATTGTAATTATTGTGATGTGGTTGATGGTGAGAAGGAGATTGGGAGGGAGGAATGACCTCATTGCTTTTTACTGCTACTACAACAACTACTTACTACTGTCGCTTTCTGATCCTGGATGAAGGTGCAGGTGGGTGATTGCACAGTTACTGCCAGTTACTATTAGGAGGGGGTGTTTGTACAGGGAATATGGTGGATGTGTTCTGCTAAAAAAGGCTGTTCGTAGTACTACTGTCGATGAGTGTATGTTTACAGTTGGTTGTAGGAGGCATGATTCTTAGCGAGTGATATATATTGTTGAAGATGTTTATATAGTATTGGCTCATTGTTGCAATAGTATGTAACCACTGCTTGGGGGGGGTTATCACTATAACCAGTAGTACTGTTAGTATCTACTATGGTATTGAAGTCTGCTGTAGATAAATGTATGCATAGTTTATTATTCCTGCTATATGTTAGCGACTCAAGCACTTAACGCTACTATTGTATACTGCTAACATAGCAGTCCTACAACCGTGCCTGCCGGCTCGATACCCTCGCCGCCGCAGCCCGACCAGCTCGTCGTCCAAAGACAGCCCCCGACGTCAATCCACTGCCTCCGGGATAGTTATCATAAAACAGTCCTCCCAGCATCTCCCCTGCGCAGTACAACCCCGGCACCTCTTGGTTCGTTGTCGACGACACCACCGCCGCCGTCTCCGGACGAACCGCCAGTCCACCAAACGTAAAAGTGATGCCCGCCGTGACCCGGACAGCCAGGAACGGTCCTTGATCAATAGGAAGCGCCCAGTTCGACTTGGGAACCGCCAGCTCCAAGCCCTCCGACTGCGTGGTAAGTCCATCTTTGACAGCCGGATCCCACTTCCCACCCGGATGCCTGCGCTGGCGCTCATAAACCGCCTTATTATAGTCATGGATGGTCTGCTCAAAGCGCTTCTTATCCTCGAGATCAAACTCGGCACACTTCTCCGCCAGCTCACTGATCGTGGCCGCGCTGATATGCTGCACTACCTCCGGCCGGTACTCCTCCGACCGCAACCAAGGGATCATCTTGGAGTCCCAGATCTGGAACGCCATGTGGCCGGGCTGGTTGAGAATCTGGCGTCCGATCATCGCATACGTATAGTTGCGCAGATCCGACCCCTCGTCCACGAACCGGTTTCCCTGCCGATTGATCATGATGCCCAACGGATACCCGGACTTGGTGAACTCGTTGGAGATCTCCCGGTCGCCCGTATCGGCCGGTGCGTTAGCATCCCACGCCACGCAGTGACATCCTGACCAGTTGCCCGCCTGCTTGGCTGAGACATCCCGGATCGCCATCTCAAATCCATCCCCGGAGTTATAGGGCGTGCCGCGTACCAGCGCCACGTCCCAGTGTGGTCCAAGGTACTGCGCGCGCATGCGCGGGTTCCCTTCGAAGCCTCCGGCCGCGAGAATCACGGCCCCAGCCTTAACAGTCTGCTCGCGGCCGTGATGCGAAACCACGACGGACGTCACGGCTCCAGAGACCGGGTCCGTTACTAGTTTCTGAGCAGCGGTCGAGAAGAAGACCTTAATGCCCAGTTTCCGGGCTGCTTGCAGGTGATCCTGAATGAGACCCTTGCCGCCATCTTGAGTCTTCAGCGCAAGACCACCCCAGAACTTGAGGCGGCCGTTGACTTCATACGCCTGTCGATTGAAAGAGAGCTGGAAGCGCACGCCATTACTAGCCAGCCACTTGATCGCCGAGTTTGACTCATTGACGAGTGTCTGGCAGAGCTCGCGGTTGGTGCGCCGCCCCGTAACACGGTTCATGTCGCCGGTGAAGTCCTCCACGGTATACGGCTTCATATCAATCTTCTTCGCCGTCTCCGCATCGACATTATTCACGATGGGAAGCAGATCCGGCAATCCGCCGTGGACGGTGCGCATTGCCCCCGCCGTGAAGTAAGAGTTACCTCCTGCCCATTCCTCCGGACATTTATCGATGATAGCAACGTGTTTTGCGCCGGACTGGACTGCCGAAATGGCTGCGCAGAAGCCGGCATTCCCGCCGCCAATGACGAGCACGTCGCATTCTGAGGGAAGAGCCATGATGCTAGAGAGTGATGTGTCTGTGTGTGTGGGTGGGTGTGCCTGTGCGTGCGTGCGTGTATGCGTCAAAGAGAAAAGAGCATTAGTGCATTTAGTCTGCTAAGGGAAGGAGATTGATGATCATCGCATCAAGTAGATACATAGTGCTCTGGGATCTGTGCTCAAGTTGCCTGCGGCTTTGTATGTAGCGACGGACGGCGGGGATGGTGCCGAGGATGGCGGATGGGGGTTGGGAAACGGAGAGTTATGCTCCGTCGGTGCCACGGAGGGAGGCGGAGAGAGTCTTTCCGGTCGGTCTGGGCAGCGCTGCTTGATGTCATCGGAAGTAGGACAGGAATGTTAGGGAGAAAAGTGGATAGCTCTGCTAGAGCGATCGAGGGTGACTCGGATCTCGAAAACGAACGCACGCATGGCATGATGCGCGGAGTGAGTGCGGGTGCTCCCCACGCTGCAATAATTGCGGGGGAGAAAAATAGTCGAGGATCGGTCGGGAATGGAAAGATCGATCGCTTCGATCAATCAGTTGATTACTGCTTTGGCTTACAGAAAGTGCCTAACGGAAAGTAAATGGGATAGAATTATATTGAACGTTGAAATGTTGGATATTGCCATAGACTACTATATCTTAGATAAAGATGGTTCAGACACGCCAAATCCCGCCAGAGAAACACCGTAATTGAACAAGCCCCAATATGATGAGAAGATAGAAAAACACACGGCAGAAGAGGGTACAGAGACAGAGAAGAAGATGATGATAAATGACACGCGCTGGCTGGCTTTTGTTCAAACTATGATAGACAACTCAGTCCGGTCCAGACCATCGTCTTCCAGGCCGGGGTAGTAGGGAATCATCGCGTCCGCACTCTGCACGTACGCATCGTTGTACAGTCGCCAATATGGCGTGCGCACCTTGCGCGCCGGGTGGAACAAGCCTGCCCACACGTAGTTCATGACCACACCGGTGCCGACTGCCATCCGGATCGCATCAATGGCTTCAATGACACGGTCGATGACGTGGGGGCTGGTCTCGAAGATGTTGGGGAACACCAGGTTAAGCAGATGCACCATCGCATCTTCACAACCAAGGCCAACCACGCCCAGCGCGATGTGCTTGACAACGCTGGCTGCGGTCTGCCGATGCACCTGGTCGCGATCGATGAGAGCATCCTCCAGAAGAGGCGTGACTGCGTAGACGTAATCCTTGGCCATCTCGCCAATGTACTCGAACAAGAAGGACATGGCCTTGAGCACACCGTTCTGGACGTTCAGTTCGGGCACACGGTATTCGTTCATCAGAGCCGGCAGAACGGTGAAAGGTGCACAAGTCTCAGCCACAATACCGATGGCGACGGCGGTACAGACACGGGATTGACGTTCTTGGACACGGAGGTTGTTCAGCAGCGTCGCCAACACATCCTGGGGACCGATGGCCTTGGCGATGAAACCGAATGTGTTGTTGGCAGCACGACGGATACCCTTCTTGTGAGCCTTCAGCATGTCCAGCAGCTCGAAGCAGATACGCATCCACTCGCGGGCGTTGACCGATTCGGGGCCACGGTCGGCAATACGACCGACCAGGTCGATCGTGTTCTCCTGCACCTTCTCGTGACGGTTACGCAGGATAGGAGTGAGTCGAGGCAGCAGATCTCTGATAGGAGGCTGCATCTGGTTGATACCAACGACAGTGACGATCGAACGAAGAGCACCAAGGATGGAACCAAGCACCTCGGGGTATTCTTCACCCAAGTATTCGTAGAGCACAATACCAAGCTTGCCCATCAGAGCGTCTTCTCCACACTGCTTCATGACCATTGCAATGCGCGAGATCAGATCCGCAGCCTGCTGACGGACCGTGGCGGATTTGTTGTTCAACCGCCAGAGGATAGTACTGACAATCTGAGGGAGGTAAGGCTTGCAGCGAGTGCCCAGGGCGTTGACCACCGTTCCGAAACCGTTCAGAATCACAATATCCTCGATGCTCTGTTCCTGGAAGGCATAGAGAACACCATCAATGAGTCGTTCCTCCAGCCTCTCGGAGATATCGGCAGCTCCAAGGGCTGCAATAAGCTTCTCCACGGTCTCCACAGTCATCTTCCGGTAGGGCTCGCTTTCATCCTTGAGGTTGTTCACGACGCGCTCCAAGATCTCACCCACACCGACCTTCTGGCCAAGATCCACGGTCGTATCAACAACCTGGCGATAGTTCCTCCTGTCCAGCGCCATACGTCGCACCCAGAAGCTCTTAAAGAAGTCGGTCAACACGTGCTCCTTCAGATAGCTGGCTGTCACACCATCAGTGCTAGCACACTGCGACACTACCTTCAAGACGACCTTCTTCATCTCCTCGTCGGGAGAGGAGAATTCACGAAGAAGGATCTCCATGATCTGACTAGTGTAGTAGTTCGCGTATTCCTCGTCCATGAGAGGGATGATGTAACCGACTGCCTTCAAGAACGCTGCCAGACCCTTACCACGCTGCTTCCGAGCTCCAGTCCACAAGGGGTTGAGGATCTCATCGAAACTCTCGATACCGTACGGGTTGGCAGCTTCGGCCAAAGCAGCCACGGCCAAAGCAGTGACGGTTCTGACTTTAGCTTGCTCGTCGCTCAGGTTGTCGGCGATACAGTCGACCAGCCCCTTCAGATGGGGAAGAATGGCACAGCCCATAAGGATAGGAATTTGCTGAACAATCTTGACACCAGTGTGCCTGGCCTGCCACGACTTCTTACTCCGACACACAGCACGAAGGAAGGGTAGAAGTGCAGGGATACCAAGCGCAGAAGCAACGACAGCAAATGCTCGAGCAGTCGTGTTACGGACGTACTCATCGACATGGTCAATATCGGGACGCATCGTACTAATCATCGTGGCAAGACCGGCCGCCTTGGCCAAGTTGGAGATGATTTCACGACCCTCGACACGAGCATAGTAGTCTTGGTCAATGAGCAAGGGCTCGATGACGACCAGGATCTTGTGAACATAGGGACGAACGAGATCATCCAGCTTGTACAGGACACGGTCAATAACCTTGACCAACAAGTGGCGCTCTTGGTCTTCAAGGGACTTTTCCATAAGAAGTGGGAGAATCTGATTGAAGAGAGGGCCGGCACCGAACTGCCGCGCGTTGTCTGTAAGCTGACGCAGTGCAGTCTTTCTCATAGGCGGAGTGCCGTTCTTCACTTTCAGCAACAGTCTCATAATCTTCCTTTCCTTCAGCTCCTCCACGGACATCGCACTCTCATCCCCACCTTCCATAAGTTTTCCAAAGTAGGCCATATCTTCCGGCTTGAAGAACTGCAAGTCACCAACACCGGGAATTTCGGTCGGTAGCTGCTTGCCCATCGCACGGGCGCTCTCTGGCTCCTGCATCATAAAACCTCCAACTCCTGTCGCACTGGCCATTGGTGCCGGTGTCGCCATAAGCTTTCTCGCGGGGTTCCGGATTGGGGCGTAGCCCGGAGGAGGCTCGAGGATCTTGTAGCCCTCCGAGGGCAGCATCATATCAAGTTCTTCATCCGACAGAGGAGCATTGCGCGCAGAGATATCAGTTCCAAAGCTGGTGGGCATCATAGGCACACCTACTTGAGAAGGATGCATCGGGGTAGCAAGCCCTTGGTTACCCACGGGGGTGGATGCCGCAATGGCCGGCGCTTGATCCCATCGAGAACGACGCTTAGGGGCTTCCTCGGCGGCGGCGCCAGGGACGGCAGGTGCAGGCGTTTGATCCCAGCGGGATCTCTTGGCCTTGGTGTCTGCGGGCTGCGAGGCCTCAGCTTCAGCCGACTCAGTAGGCTCAGATGACACATCCCACCGTTGTTTACGCTTGCGACCGGTGGCGACCGAAACGGTCGAGCCAGCTTCGGCGTTTTCTTTGTCCTCCGACTTCAAGGTGGCCTCATGCTCCTGAACATCGTCCTCTCCACGAGCCTGCTTCTCTGCGATCAGCTTCTGAACACGCTCTTCTTCTTTCTCAAGCTCACGTAGAGCCATAACCTCACGGTAGGTCTGGCCCTCTCCTTCCACGTTTGCATGTGTGTTCGCGGCAAACGGATCAGCTCGTGTAGGCGTCAGCGGACCGCGGTTGAAGCGACGCTTCTGATAGTCCGTTTCGCGATCAGCAATCCTGGCCGCCTTCTCGCGGCCCAGAAGAACGTCCTCCTCTTCCACACCATTGCCTTGGGCAAATTCATCGATCTGGCTCCTTGTCGCGGTATATTGGCCCACCAGACGGTGGCCTCCGTCCGCATCCTCCATGTCTTCATCTTCGCCATTAACGGCGATGGATGTGTCGTATCCCGCATATCTGTCAGCGCCCTCGCGTTCGTAGAGGGTGGTATCGAAGGATTCAGTCAGGGAGGCCTTGGTCGAGTTGTCAGTGCGCTGGCTAGACGGATCAAAGGTCCTAGAACCTTTCTTCGCAGATGCAGCAGCGTTCCGCTCAGCTTGGAGCTTCCGGACAGCTTCGAAATCAGCTAAAAGAGATTGTCAGCCTATCATCAGAAGCAAGATTCGCGATCAGAGGGTTACCTACCGTCGGACATGGTGGCGGTTGTGGAGATCCCAAAGACGAGAAAGAGAACGAACACTCCCAGGCAGGGGTAACAGCAGCTACATTCGGATCAAAAACGGACAATAGCAGCGACCTTGGGGGCGTGGAGGGTGATGCGCTGATGTCTCGCGATGAAAATATCAAGAGGACGTGAGGTGAAGTTCGGCGGCGGGACTAGATTGATGACTAAGATGAGGCACGTGATGGCCATGTAGCTGTCATGGCTTTCGCTTTATCTCACCTTTAGATCACTCACCCTTTGATATTATTCATTTGGGTCCGTTTGTTTTTCTCAACGGCCCTGGATGTGTTAGACATAATCATTTGAATGTTATATCAACTTTGTAGCTTCGTTGTATGTAGAGATGGTTATACCCGTTGCCTTCAGATTGCCACAACAGCAAATTAGTGAATCAGATACTACGTTTCGATACAGTGTTATATCACATCTATAAGGCTCACACTGAGGCTCCAGAAAGTACGAAAAATGGATCCCTATTCAGGAAAAATGTACATCGTGATGTGAACAGGATATTGAATATGTAAGACTGTTTCATGGCTATATATCACCACTTGTTTTGGTATGCATAGCTGCAGTGACCGAAGTCCATACAAGTAGTTAGTACTGCGCATTTTTTCCCTCATGAAACGCCTCACAAATGAGGTAATTAGTACACAATTTGGTGTCTGCTAAGATTAATAAATTGTCCCATGATCTAGGGACTTTGGTGCTCATAATCCAACGAACATTCCTAGAGCTTGCTCCGCCTACAGTCCTGCCACAATGTCATGCTTGAAGTTGTTTGTACCAAGGAACCAGTTTCCATTGTGCGAGAACACTAATTATAGACTGAGGTGCATCTCCTA